TTTAGAGAGAGAGAGAGAGAGGATAGAGAGTATGAGGCGGGTGAGGCGGATCGTGGTTTCTTAATAAGAGAGGCAAAAAGGGTTATTGAATTATTCATGAAGAAGAGGACCCATTTGTCATAAATGTTACATCATCATGTGTGTGTGTGTGTGTGTTTGTTTGTGTGTATTGTGTATCTATACATTTTTTTTTCCTTGTATTTTTGTAGGGTTTGAGGGAGGTACAGTGTTTTGGTGCAATGTATGTTTTTCCGCTGAATTTTGACAATTGCAACGATAGATTTTCCAATAGTTGAACTACCAGTGAAAATAGAAACTTCAACGGTAATTGTATATTCCAACAAAAATTTCGACTGTAAAAAAACCGTTGGAATTACGAAATTCCATCTATAATTCTAATAGAAAATTCATTGCGACAAAATATCTTTGTTGAAATTTTTATAGAATCATTTCAGCAGAAGTTATACCATTGAAATATCCGTCAGAATCTGCATTGGAATATACTATCATTGAATCTTCCTTTAGAATATGACAATTTTATTTGTAGCGACATGATCTCGCCTATCATTTCCCAATCTCTTACCTTTGACATGGGTGCAATGAATTGCTATTTAATGGTTAAAATCCACTTTATTAAGTATATTATAATGACATATATAATACCTAAGATTGAAAACGTTTCGGGCTTGCTTGGATATAATATTTTTATTGATTTTTGCTTAATCAGAGCTAATTTTAAAAATATTGGTTAAGTTTGTGTGAAATTTTTAGTTTGTATTAAAATATAGTAAAGATTGTTAAAGTTGGTTTGATTTAAAACTAGAAGAGAAGTGATTTAAGACGATGAATAGTTAAAATTATGTAAATAAATAAATGTGAATTTAAATTTGATGTGATGTGAACAAATTATATTTAATCATATTTGATAATATTGATGATAATATGGTTGAACTAAATTCGAACAAGATTAACTTTAGTTGTGATTGAAATTGAATTATTATTATTATTATTATTATTATTAT